GAATGCCTGACAAGCAAGTGTACTCATCAGATTCCCAGCAGAAATTTCATCATCTTGTTCAACAGCCAACACTGCAAGCCAACAAGTCCTTCAGCCAAGAAGTCCTTCCCCAGGGCTAATCTGAAGCTCTGCTGCTGTTGGGTACATATATTTCACTTTCTTGGCACTTCTGTGCAGATGAAGAAGAGCTGCTTGCTCCTGACCCATACAACCTTTCACATGCCTTAGATTTCATTCCTGAATTCTTAATCCTCTGCCGGCCCCTTGGCAAATCTGAACACACTGCTGTTGTGGGCTCTCATTTCAGGTGCTTTCTTTTCAAGTCTCTCCTCCCATTTCCCCCATTACAACAAAAGCCTGGAAACTATTCCAAAGTCCTAACCAAATGACTAGGGGATGAACAGGTCTCTTAGGAAAGGGGCACCAGGAAGGCAAACAGTGCCAGGCATGGGTGAATCCCAACGTTTGGTCAGGTGTCTTCATGGCCTGCTTTTTGTTGTTGTTCTGTACTCTCTGGATCATCTCCATGGGACTCAGCCTACTCTGCCTTGGTTGTCCCCCACTTTGTGCCTCTGAAGGGATTCACAGAGCCAAGTGAGTTTTCTTGACATTAGTTGGAATGATAAAAGAATGAGGACTGAAGAAGTATGCAGCAGATGAATAAACAACCCCAGTACAGGCTAATCCCGGCATGGTACTGTGCCTGGGCCCTGGCTCAGGGCAGGGCCCACAAGCCACCACACAGAGCTTCCTAGGCAGAGCACAGGACTCCAGCATCACCCTGCTGAGGTCTGCTTGCCAGGACATGTATAGCCAAGGCAGGACAGTCAGGGGGCACCATAGCAGCTGGCCACCCCTTTATCTTGAATTAGCCTCAGTTTCCCCTGAAACAAATTCTCCCTCATGGGTCAAAGTGGGTTAGCAGAGCAAGCCATCATCCTAAGGACCCCAGTAAGCTCATCTGAGTTGGTACCATTGAAGGAAGAGGGTGCACTAAGGAATGACTGCACAGCCTGGCCTGAGACAGCTCAGTGTGGCCTCAGCTTAGGCATCTTTACTGAGTGCCTAATGTGTGCACAGCCCTACCAGAGGGGACCAGGGATGTGCAGCCACCCCCAGCTCTCATCTTAGGGTTGACCAGCTGGCTGAGGGCAGATGTACTTTGAATGGTGTGACGGCAACATGAGTTACTATGAGGGTGTCTGTCCAGATGAGGGGGTACAGTGAGGAGGAGCTCGGTGTGCTCAGAGGGAGAGTGGTATCCCTAGACATTGATCATGTGCTCCAGTCTCTGGTAGGTCAGGTTTCAGGAGGCTCTGGAAAACAGGTGAACTAAAGGGTCTCCTCAGAGCCCCACTCTAAAGATGCTACCTTTGGCAAGCAGCCCCTGGATCTTGCTCCATCAGAGGCTGCTGTAGGACAAGTGGGGACAAGATAATGCCACAGGTCAGTTACCTGGGGCTTTCCTTGTGACACAGTCACACAAAGGATGCTAACCAGCTCTGATCCCTCCTCAGAGGGCACAGGAGATGGAGATCAGAAGCACTGGCTTGGTGCTTCCACTGATGGAAGCCACCAGGGCCATAGATGTAGACCTAGAGACGGCAGAACTATGAGGAGTAAGGAGGCTGTTTTGACAGTGCTGAGCTGTGTCAGCCTTAAATGGCCATTCATGTGGTGGCAAGTGAGAAATAAACTTCCATCTTGTTCTTGTGGTCCTATTGTTTGTACGTAGCCAGTTCAGTCCTGCAATGTCCTAAATATCAGGGTTTTCATCACAGAAACAAGGCATTATGAATGTAGGACATCTCATTTTAATTCAGGCCTCCAGTAACTCCCACCTCCCTATCCAGGTGCACACCTCAAACTCCCAGCAGGAGATGGGGCTCCACTCACCTCCCCTCACAGCCCCCACCCTGATTCTGGCCATCCTGTAGACACATGTATCTCCTGCCCTGAGCTGGGCATTCCTTTATACCTGGGTCGTGTCCTTCTAACCAAGGCTGAGGCCATTAAAGCAGGCCATGGCATCATGCCTGCCAGGGTTTAGCACCAGGCTCCTGCCAGTACTGCTGCTTGGTGACTGTCTAGGAAATCCTGCCTATAAATACCTACACTCTTTGGCCTCGGAGGTGTTGTTGGCTCTAAGCTGCTTTCCATGGCATGGCGGGTGTGGCCCCACTAGGCTCAGGCAAAGCAACCCTCTGCAGGCTTTTCCCATACTCCAGATTCAAGCCTGCAGGCCCCATTCCCAAGATCCACAAGGCACAGACTTTGAAGGGGCAGAATGGGTGTCCCTTCAGGGCCCCAGCTGCTCATGCTTTCTCCCTCTGAGATAAGACGATGGGCTCCTATTATTCTACCTAAACCAGTTTGGTGGTGGTGGCAATGCTCTGGCTTGTCAGAGACCCCTCCCAGGGAGCTCTGCTCTCTGGCATGTCAGGGAAAGAGGTGCCTTTACACTGAGAGATCCCTATCTCCTCTTGTCTAGAGCTTCTCCCTCTCAATGAACCTATATCTCAATTCCACCTGCCAAGAAAGAACCTTAACATTACATCTTTACATGGGGCTACATTTCACTTTGCAGAATCTGCTTGCCTCAAGTTTTCCTTTTACCTCCCAAAAGGTGAGATTGGGTTAGCAGGTTCTCCAGTGCTTGGTGCTTAGGGAGGGGACAGCTCACACATAACCCTGCTAGGGGGCAGCATCCTACAAGACCCCAGCCCTACTCCACCAGCCTAGGCCTCTGTTCAGTTTCCCACCCTGCCTCCTGCAGGTGGTTGAAAGAAGCCAAGCAAGGACAGCTCTGAGGGAGGGTGAAGATAGTGGCTGGGGGTAGAAGGATACTTTCTCAACCCCTGGGATCCTGTCAGAAGTGACAGGTCCAGAAGAAAAGGTTGGGGAGAGGACCGGAAGAGGCGATAAAGGGGAAAGAAAAAAGAACCTTACACTGGGAGATTCCAGAACCAGTTATCTATTGAACAAATAAAGAACAGTCACTGACCAGCCTGTGATATTCTCCATCTAAGGGCTCCAGCCATGCCCTGAAGCCCTCTCTCTGGTATGAAGCCCCCACACTCAAGCCAACTTTACTACTTGAGAGTTAAGGGGGTCTTCAGATGGGGAATCCAGAATAAAAAGCAGAAACAAGACTCAGAGCTGCTGATGTGCAAGGGTTAAGCTGAGGGCTCAGGAGCATACCTCTGGGGAAGGAGGAGGCAGAGACAAAGGCCTCCTGGAAGGACACATGCTTCTTTCTGTAGGGCAGGTGAAAGTACCCTGTGGGTGTAAGTAGACAAGAGGCCATACGCCTTCATGGGCCACAGTTTTCTCATCTTGAAACTGCAGAGGGGTGCTAGAAGGACCCCCTGGAGTCTCCTCTGGTTTTATATTAGGAAGCTGACACCTGATGAGGAAGAACTTGCCACCAAGTTTGTGGCAGAGTGAAAACCAGAACCCAGGGCTTCTACCCCACTTATCCAGGGCTCCTGTTATGATCTCCTTCCTAATCAACAATCAAATGCACAGATGCACACTAATCCTGTAATCAGAATGAACCATCAGGGGCAGCAAAGTCTTGCAGACTGAGAAGGGCCCAGAACTAAGGCCACCAAGCATCTTCCCTCAGGACAGAATAGAGAAGGGTAGGTTTATTCAGTGAAGTTGGATGAAGCCAGTGGACTGGGCCATGTGTCCCTGCAGCAGCTGTGGGATCAGGAGCTATGAAGTCTGTGGTGGCAGGGCTGGGCTAGGATAAGTGGTTTTATCAGCTTCTAACCCCACAGTTTCCTACCAGCAGGAATGAGGTATTAGCAAAACTAGCTGGACAACAAGGAGGTGTGGGGTCCTAAGGATCTGGAGGACAGCTCTTGAAGAGCAGATGCTCCCTTCTATCCTGGCCACACAGCCCACCCAGGAGCACTCAGGTCCTCACAGACAGTAGCAGGCTCCAGCCTGGCTCAAGGACAGTTACGCAATGGGTTCCTCTGAGCTCCTCCCACAAGTTGTCTCACCTCTTGGCCCTCTGTAGACCTGAAGCAAAAATGATCTCCAAAGTGTCCCACCAGCATCAAAATCCTGAGTGCCAGTGTTTTTAGGGTCTGTCAATGTCAGTGCATGAGCCTCTAGTTTGGTCATCTGCACAGTATCAGTGTAATATTCCACTGCAGGGATATGTTACAGAGTGCTCTCTCCTCTCCCCTCAGTGGACATCTGTGTTGTTTCCGGATGTTCGTTATTACATATAATACTACTACTGAAAGGAATCAATATGTTTTCTTGGAGATTTAACAATATATTATTGAATAATCAATGGATCACACAAGAAATAAGAAAGTTTCTAGAATCACATGACAATGAAAGCACAACATACCCAAACCTGTAGGACACAGTGAAAGCAGTTCTAAGGGCTGTAAATGTGTACATAAAAAGAACAGAATGATCCCAAATAAATAACCCAATGATGCATCTCAGGGTCCTAGTAAGAGACGAATATTCTAAGTCTGAAACTAACAGGAAGAAAGAAAATATAAAGGTCAGAGTGGAAATTAACAAAATTGAGACACACACACACACACACACACACACACACACACACACACACACACACACACACACACACACACACAAAACAATATAAAGAATTATCGTATCGAAGTGGTTCTTTGAAAAGATGGGAAAAGGATTTGGGGAGGGGTAAAGAGGATTTGGGGAAAGGAAAGCAGAAAAGATCAGAGTGTGATATGTATATGTACCATTTCCTTCAAGATGAATGTATTTACTATGTATTATAACAATATACTCATAAAAAATTGAGGGAAAGAAAAGAATGTGTTTTGGGGAGGGGTGCTAGGGCCACGGAATTATGGGAGGCTTCCCAGAGTCATAGACCGTATCCTTGAATATCCCATCTTCCTGCTTATTGAATATCCGCTCCTCTCAGGAACCCACAAAAGCAAGACAGGTGACAGCCCCAGATGTCGCCAGAGCTGGTCCCCTACCTGCTGTGGAGGAGCTCGCCCTCGGGAGAAGGAACCACTGCTGTCCAGCTGCTCACTGCAGTCCGCTGTCCACTGTGAGGCAGAAAGGAGGGGTCAGTGATGGCAGGTCAGGCTCTCACTTTCCCGGCCCCCTAGGTATGCCCTGGTCCTCAGCAGAAGAGCCAGCAAGAATTCGGCATTCTCAGTGGCACATCCTTCTCTGCCAGCAGGTCTCCAAATGCCACGACAAGTTGATCCCCGGATAAATAGCTGGGGAAGGCAAATTCATTCCCTTCACCTAAGCCCACCAAAGTGGTGAAAATGCAGTTGCATTCTAAAGTTAAGAAAGCAAGATGCCAGGTCTTCTCAGTTTTGGACAACCAGCCCATGTCTGACTGCCTGACCTGGCTCCAGCTACACTGGTCCTTTATTATGTCAAGGCTAGAGCCAGAGAACAGATAAGTATGGGCAGCTTTTCCTGCACATGCAGCTCTACAAGCTGATGGACCCAGCATCAGAGAAAAGCCCAGGCTCAAACCCAAAGAGCTGGGAGAGTTAATATGTCCCAAAGTGTGGTTTGACAACCATCTGCAGGCGAGCCCCCAAGGAAGCCATACAGAGGACCTTGGGCACACACCCCTTCCACCCAGTGAACCAGACCCGGGGGCTGGGCTGAGGACCAGCATGGTGACAAGCTGTCCAGGTGATGTACCAGAAGTTTGAGAGTCATGTAAGCCATGTGATCTCCCAGGCTTCATCTTGTTCTCTGCAAAATAAGACCAAAATGCTGGGCAACTCTGCAAGGTAGACAGACAGAGGACTTTAAACTATAAAAGTACTGTGCAGACAATGTGGCAGGTGCACAACAGCTCATCCTCTGTCACGTGTTATTTAGCTACAACATGGTGTTTCTACTGCTGCATTAAATGTTAGCTGTTCTCTCTGCAGAATGTGGAACTTAACCTACACTTTGTGTGATACATACAACACAGGGAGCTCAGTGTCTATGCTTGACATCTCTGGGCAAAGCTCTGACTGTGGATGGCTTCAGGTCAATATAGTCCTGTTTTTCTAAACATTAGGTGGGCACCACGTCCTGACAGTGAGTCCAGGACACTACCTTTGAAAGATCTTTTGTTATGATGCTGATGATACAGCTAGGTCCAAGTATGCTATAGAGCAGAGCTATCCAACCAAAATAAAATGAGAGCTACAGACAAGATGCTTTACTAGTATCCAGATTTTTAAAAAGAGAAACAAAATTAAGTTAAATAATATATTTTACTTAACCCAATATATCTAAAAGATTAGTAATCCATAAAAAATTCTTGATGAGATAATTTACCATCTTCTTTCCAAACAGAAGTTTTTGAAATCCACTGGGCACACATTTCAGATTGGATGTGCCATATTTCAAATGCCCAAGAGCCACACACGGGCAGTGACTCTGATGTTGGACAACAAGCTCTAGAGAGATGGCAAAGGCAGCAGGTCCACTGTGTCCATCCATCTGCTGAGGGCAAACTTGCCAGCCTCCATGTAAGCAGGCTTTCGGCTGACTCAGGCAGGAGAGAAAGCAGGGAGAAGCTCCGTCTTTCTCTGTCTGTTTCTGCCTCAGGTGGCGTTACTAACAGGACTAGGTCTTCATGGCTCAGCCCTCACTGACTGGCCTCTATACTTGACCTGGGCTAGGGCTCTGGCAACACCATCTCCTCCCTTGTACCTCATGTTAAGAGGCAGTAACAGCTCCATGTGGGTGCTAAATTCTGATAATTTAGCTACATAGCTCTATCATCTAGGTAACTGACACTCTGCATTAAATTCCTGGATGGGCAATGGCAGTCATAGAGAATCTCCCCCGAAACATTTATGAATTGAAAAATAAGAAACTCCTCAGCTATCACTGTGCCCAAGTGAGCAAGGCTAATATTGCCAGTAATAAGATGTATCAACATCATGGCTCCTGAGCCAGGTGCTCAGCAGGGCGCTTCTCTTCTGAGGTGATCTTGCCCAAAGTGCACAGTCTCAGTGTAGGCATAAGAACACCAGGCAGGCCAAATTAATGAACTTTCTATAAAATCCATGATTGATGCTCATAAAAACTGTCAAAAAGAAGAAGGAGGAGGAGGAGGAGGAGAGGGAGGAGGAGGAGGAGGAAAACTGTCAAAAAGAGAAGAAGGAGGAGGAGGAGGAGGAGAAGAGGAAGAGGAAGAAGAAGAGGAGGAAGAGGAGTAAGAGGAGGAGGAGGAGGAAGAGGAGGAGACCAAGAAAGTATCACAGATTGGAGGAGAGTAAGGAGACAACAATTAAATGCAAATTTAGATCTTGAAACAGTGAAAGGACATTAGTGGGAAATACTAATGAGCTCTAAGTAAATCTGTACTTAAGAGCACTGTACCAAATTTAAAGACCCATTTCAAAAATGGGCATCTGAAACAAATAAACAGTTCTCAGATGACGAAGTAGAAATGGCAAATAAAGATATGAAAAAATGTTCAATATCACTGATCATTCGAGAGATGCAAATTAAAACAATGCTGAGATTCTATCTGTTGGACAAATGGCTATTATCAAGGAGAATCCAATAACTAATGCTGGCAGGGCTGTAGGGGAAAAGGAAGCCTTCTCCACTGTTGGTGGGAGTGTAGACTGGTGCAACCACTGAGGAGATCAGCGTGGAGATTTCCTCAAAAAACTAAAACCAGAGGTTCCACCCCACCCAGTTATTCCCCTTCTTGGTATTTTCCTGAAAGAATCAACAGCATCATACCACAGTGATATTTGTGCACAGTTTGTAATACTAAATCTTGGAAACAGCCCAAATGCCCATCAACTCATGAATGGATGAAGAACACGGAGCTTTTTTATACAATGGAGTACTACTCTGCCACAAAGGATGAGCTTGAGACGTTTCTAACTAGATGGCTGCATCTTGAGACCATACTGTTGTTAAGTGAGATAAATCAGACAGACATGTTTAAATACCACATTATTCTCTGGTGTGAGAAACCAAAAGTGTAAATAAGGACCAAAATGTGTAATACATTTGGAAAATGGGAAGAAAATGTCCAAAGGAGATGAGAAACAATGGAGAGGGGAGGGTGAAAGGAAAAAAGGGACAAGAAAAAAAGAATAGAAGGAAAAAATGGAAACAAAGCTTTTGTAAATAAAGAGGGGAAGAGGGGTTGAAGAGAAGGGAGGATGGGGGGGAGAAGCAAGAAAAAAAAATAGCAGTGTACCACTGCTCATTTCTTAATTCTCATCACTGTACCACAGTTATATAAGATGTTCATCTCAGAAGTTGGGTGACAGGGAACATTTGAAAAAAATTTGGCTGTATGTCTCAAATAATTTCAAAACAAAAAGTCATATATACATATATACATTATGTATACATATACATATGTATTATGAAGATACTATGTACACATACACACGCATGCATATAAGTATGAATGCAAACACATTTTGGATTCATACATGTACACATGTATGTACCTATGTGTGTGTATAATGTGCACACTGCTGTAAAAGCAATGCCTCTGCTCTGTATATTACAGTGATTTCTCCTGTCCTGGGTGGAGCCTGGCTGATAGGGTGGGGACCGCTAAGACATAAGGGGACTATGGCTGGTCCTACCCTAGGACAGACTCTCAGAAAAAGCCTTTTCCTTTCCAGGTGTGCCAAATACCTCAATCCCAGTGCCAATCTGGGTCAGTTTGGCCCCTGGCAGAGTGGACCCTCTTGGCAAGTGTGCCTAGTGAGCAGGCTTCAGGCATGGTTGTAAGCAAGCAGCCTTGTCCGTCGTGGTGAGCTGACCTGGAGTATCTCCAAGATCCACGGAGATGATCTTGCTTTTCCAAAAGTCACCACAACTTCACATTTGCCAGCCAGAAGTCATCTCCTGAGTGGCTTCTGTGTGGGAGCTACAAGAAGCACATCCCCTTGTGGGACTGTGAGCGCACTGACCAGCAGCAAGGCAGGAGAGGTGGGGATACATACAGGGATGAGGAAGGGGTGCTCTCAGCACAGAGGCCCCGAGGACAGGAACATGGGCAGCCAGGAGAATCCAAGTGTACAAATGGGTGCAGGGGGAACCTGGACACTTAAGACAGATTGTGCGACCAGGCCAAAGAGGTCTGACACATCTCTTGCACGGACCTGAGCTGAGCTTGTGCCAGGGAGCCCCTCCTCAGAGCATTACGGAAGGTAGCACTGGTCCAGTGGGTAGGGGCCCGGTCCCAGGTGCATTTTCTTGGTTGTGGCAATACAGATGGAAATGAAGAAAGGGACCTAGCACATGGAAGAGACGAGCAGTGGCAGAGGGGGCATCTGCATAGAGGAAGTCAAGCAAGATGAAGGAGCCCACAGAATCCACTCAGCAACTGATAGGCAGGGCTGGATATAGGTATGGTATCTCACAGAAGCAGGGACTGTGTTCTGGCTTTCCCCAAACCCAGGAAGACAGTGAGAATTATCACACCACACCAAGCCCTACCCACAGGGCTTGTAGGGCTCCCACCTCAGACGGCACAACCAAGCAGCAGCCCCAGGGATGTCCTCTCCATGGCCGCTGTCTGAGTCACCTCAGAAACAATGTTTATTTCTGCCCTGGGACTCTCCCTATCTGACTCCTAAGGTCATTCTCTCGCTGCTGGGAGTCCGCACTCTGCATCTCCTTTCTTATGTGCAGCCTACACCTCCTGCATCCCTTTGCCTCCTCTAAGTCACTGCCTGGAAAGCCTCCTGATCCTATCGCAATCTGTAGGAAGTGGTTCTGGAGTGAGGCTGGCTCCCATCTCTCCAAACCCTCCGCCAGGAGCCAGAAATCTCACACAGAGCACATTCCTCCTGGAAAGCCTGAAGACCAGGCAAGTCCTCAAGGGAGTGAAGGCACTGTCCTACCTGAGGAGTCAGCCAACTGAAAAATGCAGGACACATGGGGAAGTTTTCTATATGGGAACACAGCACGTGGAATTCACAAAAGTAGTTTCATGCTGTAATTTATATCTCAATTAAAAAATCGGAACCAAATAGGACACAGAGTCAAAGATGTAACAAACATGTAGGTGTAGATATTTATTCTAAACTTAAAATGGGTGTTTATTATTCTCTGCTTTTATCTGTACATTGAAATACTTTACAATTAAAATCATTTAATCATTTGCATCTTAGGATGGGCAGTAGGTTTTGAGCAGACTTTGGGAAGGATGGGGGAGACCATGTGGCTCTAAGCACTGGAGAAGAAGGAATGAGGACAAAGCTCCCTGTAGGAGAGGCTGACCGTTGTCTAAAACTCGCCCCAGGGACTGGCCCTACCGGACATCAGAGACCATTACAAGGCTGACTCTGAATCATCACAGAAACAGAAAAATGGATCAATTGATAAAGCTACCGATAAGTAAATGAGTGTTCAAAGGGGATCTTCATATGGGATAAGGAGAGTGGTTTCAATCAGCGGAAAGAAAAGACTCATCAGTGACCACAGGACGACACAGGAGGCTTGCCATTAGAGAAAATTACTCTAGATGTCCACCTGGCTCTATCCACAGACAGCATATTCCAAGTTGATCAAAATCACAGATATCAACTGCATCGACACTTAAAATTCTACGTATGCGACAACAGAAATTCTTCACAAAGACAAGTGAGGGGCTACTTGCAACACGTATAACCAAGGATGAGTCCCCAGAGTATATGAAGGTTTCACATAAATCAGGGTAAATGAAGGTTAGTGTAAACCTTTCATATTTGTTACTGTTTCCTCCCTCAGTGCCTTCTGGGTGCTCTTACTTTCCCACTTGGGCAAATACAGAGACTGAAGCACAATGCGGTTAAGTAATTTCTGCAGGGCACACAACCAAAACATGGCAGAATGAGAAATTAGCATAAATAGGTATTCACTTAAATGGCCAGACAAGATAACTGATGACAAAGGCCACACGCAGTCTTAGATTCTACCAAGATCATAGCTAAGTGTTCTCTCTTTCTTTCTCTCCTTTTTTCTCTCTTTCTTTCCCTCCTGATCAAAATCAGGACCTTGTGCTTTCCAGGCAGGCAAGGTGCTGCTGAACTACATCCCCACCTGTCAATTATTTTTTCTTTTTGCCGAAAACCTCTTATTGGAAAATTGGTTGAGATATAAGGGCTGTATATTATAGTATCACATCAATGTTCATTTCCTGTGTTATGATTACTTAAGGGCATATTCCTGTTCTTAGGAAACACACATTATTAGCATTTGAGAGTAAAGTGGGGTCATGTCTGCAATTGATTCTCAAATGATTCAAATAAGATCTCTCTCTCTCTCTCTCT